AGGAGGATATAGGAAATGTGAATAGTCCAGGGCAGAAGGGGAGATACCACAACTGTTTAGCACACGTTTGATAAAAGGATGGGCTTCACTTGTCTCTGACGAGTTTTAATATGGTGCTACGAATGGCGAAACTCACTGACGATGCCGACTACGATGCCAGAGAAACGTCTGGGAATGTACCACGTCCACGGTCCTTCTCTGGAAATTATTATGCATACAATGGACTCCGGACTAGGTGCGTTCCTCTAAGTCTTCCTGCCCATATGACCAAGTTGCGAAAACAAGGTTAAATATATTTTAGTTGATTTAATAGCGCATCCTCCTCAGGATAGCTATAGAGTTTAAGATTAGCAATAGAATATTCTTGAGTTGACTCCCTATAAGAATAATCCTTTGGTCAGAATATTGGAATTCGATATAGGCCTATCATGGATCGTAGACTGGCCGATTAAATGCATTTATATAGAATGGGAATACAAATGGGATGATAATATAGCTACGACATAGGTAAAGATGTGTTTCTGAAAGGAATAGTACATTTTTAAAAATAAAATACCAGTCAAAATAATGCAGTATAGAAGCTATATAGATTTGGAAGGAATATATATAGCTCTGTGGTAGTATTGAAGTGCTGGAGGCACACAGGTTAAATCGGCCATAACTGGGCAACCGAGATTAATTGCTACGTATGTTAACTACGCGAAAGAGGCATCATAATCAGATCCTGTATGGATGGGCAATATAGCCTTAATTCGAAATCGATCTGGACAAAGAACCTCTGCTACTGGCAAGCAAATCAATTCCTAGCATTACAGACAATGACTTAACGCCACTATCATACCATTAAATGTGGTGTCATAGAGCATCCAGAGAAGCGTGCCAGCAAGTGCAATTGAACCAAGTAAGTCTATTTGGGTGAAACCAAAATCTAAAACCAGGAATATTTCATGGAAAATACCTTACGTTTAATACAAACTCGAGGAAAAAGAGGAAACTAATGTCCACAAAATTTAAGTCATCTGTGCACAGTACATA